CCCCAAAACCCCAAAACCCCAAAACCCCAAGGTTCAATAATTTCAAAGCAAATTGAGGCATAATAATAAATTATACTGTTAACTTTAATATCTTTTCAAAGGAGTGCTGATTAATTTCATTAATTATACATCAAGCCAACAGCACTCTAAATCCATTTATGAATCTCAGGCGTAATAGCAGTTGCCACATTAGCATTTAAAGTTTTATCACATCCTGCATGAACTCCTACTCTAAAATAGAACCCATCCTTTATCGTATAAACAGAACCCCCACTTTATCCCTTCGTTGTATCGATGTCTTCATATATAAGCACTTTATTTAATCCCTCCTTTTCAATTATATTAGCCACTGTGCCTTTCATTTAATAAATTAACCCATTATACTCTCCTGGATAGCCAATAACACACAAATCATCATTAATTTTCAATTCGATCTCCTCAATATTAGTCCAAAAGCTATCTTCACTGACTGGGATCTCAGCCTATTCCTAATCAGTCATACATAGCCTGGCTACTGCAATGTCATATCCCTGTGAGAAGTGATGATTATTTATATATAGTGGGTGCACTATGTATGTCATAACTCTAAATCTTTTTAGATAGTTACGGGCTTCACTTTTACACAGATCAAACATAATCTTCTCAGAGTAATTCACCTTATAGTCCAGAGCTTCATGTATCTGTACAAAGTTATGCGCTGCTGTCAGCAGAAAGACATGATTATTAGCGTCCTTGCATAATGCTCCACTACCTAGAGAGGCTGCTCTACCATATTAAGCTATAATTTGACCCTAAATGGCAGGATAGCTTGTTAAGCATGCTTAGGGGTTGACCTTCTCTCTTTTTTCTATGTTGTTCTTATTTGACAGGATAGCTTCGCGACCTTGAATGAGTTTTTCGCCAGGTTCAAAGAAGAATATGTTATCCATGATCTCATCATCGATATCAGTTGTAAAATCTACCTTTTATACATTAGATATGAGTTTTTTATCCTTATGATGCTGCCTTTTCTCCATTGAAAAATAATAGTAATTTAACTTGCAATTGTTTTACCAAAACTATAATTATTTATATTGTTCAAAAGATTGATATCAAGACATTACTTCTAGCTTCTGCGTTTTCATCTTATAGTTATGGGGTTTTGGGGTTTTGGGGTTTTGGGG